TACTTACAGTCTGTGAGTCAGAACAGCCGGCATTGTAGTCTACTCTACCAGGATCAGGAAACAGTCCTCCATAAAATGCACTGCACACATCTGAATATTTGGGTTGAACTGTTCTGGAACAGTGTTGTAAAAACAACTTAACCACTGATTTCTAGTCGTGTCCTCTTTTGGAAGGCCAAACAAAGTATTTTCGCTTTCGCAACGAAACACACAGCGTCTTCACGACATGGCGGCGGCGGTGGCAGCAACAATAAAGTTACGCCTTCTTTCTTTGCGTGAACATTTGGGCGGTGTTATGCAAATCTTTCCACACAGTGACGTAGACATGTGGGGGGCGTGTTTAAACGAGGCGTTTTAGGAGTCTTAACTTTTATTTAAAAATATCTCTTTGTGTTTGAGACTTTAGTCTTTGCAACTTTAGGGATCTAATCTATTCACAAACAGCTTGTAACACTCCAAAGAGAAAGGAAAACTTGAAATCACATCATATGACCCCTTTAATGAGGTTTGATAAATATCTCTGGTCTGGAATATCAGATCCACTCAAGACCAGGTCAGTGATGGATATACTAGTCATTGACGGGGAAGGTGGTCCATTTAAATGAGCTCTGTATCCTGTCTGGCTAATCTCACTAAGACCTTGATGGGGTTGAATTGCACCCCTCGCTTTCTATATGTTGGATTTTATACATCACAGAGACACGTATGAGGATCAACTGGAGTCTGGAATGCTCTCAATGTACAATTAAAATGCAATAGCTTATTTTGCCTCTAGAGGGCGAACTTAATCGCTTCAAATCAAATGCAGAGTACCATGCATGTCTATCTTTCTAGGCTGCTGGAGGACTATCTTCAGGCTGTAGAAGGCGTCAGAAAGAATCTCTTGAGACAGACTTCTCCTAGTAAACTGACCTTTGTTGGGGAGCTGTCCAACGGCCGTCTCAATCCCAAAATGGTGAGTCATAACTTCACCTAATTTCTGCCACCGTGTCGTTCTAAAAGGAATTGTTCACCAAAAAAAATGAAAATTCTGTTATTATTTGCTCACTCTCATGTTAAATTAGACCAAAACTTATTTTCTGCCTCATTCTGTGACAGGAAGCATCATCAGATCACAAAAGGAAGCATTTGACTGGTGTTGTGGAGTTAAAAATTACAGAGTTGGAACAACATGAGGGTGAAATACATAATGCCAGAATTTTCATTTTTGGTTGATTTATTCCTTATGTGGTTGCCTTGTAAATATCTTGAGTCTATATACGACCGGCATCTGTTCCTATAATCTCCAGGCTTAAATCTTGATAAGTCTTTAAGCAAAATCTTTTTTTTTTTTAATAGAAGAGTTTATTAGATAAAATCTAAAAAATAATAATAGTAATAATAAAATTAAAAATGTGTTGAATTATGTTTTTTTTTTATGAGTATATTTCATACATACAAATATGGAGCTCATACTCGAGGGAAAAAAACGGAGAACTCTTTATTCGGAGAACCAAACTGAGCACAAATATGTAATTTGGTGCAGTTGCTAATATTTATATGGTCAAAAAGTAAGATAAAATTCTAATAACTTGTAATGTAAAACAATAAGGTCTTTATAGTATGGAGCATACTATGCATACAGTAAAATATAATTTGCCGTTCTATCTACCAATAATAATAGTCTTAGTAAGATTATATTTAATTCATATTTTTATCATCAAAGCTCTTTAGTTTGAATTGTGCATATAATGCAATGCAGTACAAAGATGAGTAAGAGAAATACAAATAAAAGTTCCTCAAAAAGCCTCATGTATCATATTTGATACTCACATTTTTACAAGATTTTTCTAAAGAAAAATATATATATGTATGGATAATGAAGTAAACCAAAGTTGCTTCAGTCCAGTAAGGGTTCATCTTGAATTATTACTAACAATACAAATTTACTTTATAAAAATCATTAAAGATCTCACAGCAAAAAGGCACATGTACCACAACATGAAGGTGGACATTTTTAGAATTAAACTAAAAGGCCTTTTCCGTGCTAAAAAACTATGAACTATCAATCAGCCAACAGAAGGCATGTAAAAAAATTGTGAACATCAGGTTTTTCAAGTTCTGGTCATGCTGATAATTATCAGCCTTATAATTTTGTGTATCAAATATGATACAATAGGCTTTACAGGGTTAATCTCTTTCTCCATCACAACACTCTCTCTGTCTGATCCAGGATCATTTGGTGTGTTTTCTTCCTGGCACGCTGGCTCTCGGTGCTCACAACGGCCTGCCCGCTGATCACATGGAGCTGGCTCTGCAGTTGATGGAGACGTGTCATCAGATGTATGCGCAGATGGAGACGGGCCTGAGCCCAGAGATCGCTCACTTTAACCTGCAGTCCAACAACGGACGGGACATCGATGTGAAGGTACATTAACCTGTACAATCACCACTTATTTCTGACAATAAACTCCCTGGGCGTTTGGAGCCGTGGCCTTAAACTGCTGATACAGGTTTTGGAATGGATCCATCTTTCATTTTCTCTCCATTGTCTAAAAATAAAATGGTAATAAGCTTCCCAAATAGAGCAGAAACTATGTTCAGACTGTCCAATTAAGGCCTTTGTGTTTATCTTTTCTATTATCTGCTCTGAAGAACAAGATGCAGGCTTCCACAGAAAGCGACCTTCTCTGCAGTGAGTTACTCAAGTGAGCAGGAATGTTTCTGCTCTAAACTGAGGTGGCAGGTTACACACCGATCTTTAACTGTGCATTTGAGATTTATTCAAATTCTGTGACACTCTTTATTCACCCAGAAGATTTGGATTCACCCAGATTTGGTGGCGGTTTTATGGGTGGTGAAATATCAGAAATATTGTTTCCACGTTTTACTTTACAAGACTTCATTTACCTTTGAGCTCATGGGACGCCTGAAAAGTGTGACACTCTTGCATGTTGGAAAAGTCCATTTTCAGATGTTCCATCTTCCATATTTTGGAAAGAAACATTAGTGTCAGAGCGCTGTAAATCACACGGCAGACTACTGAAAACACACACTGTGAAAAACACAAAGCACTTTGTAAGTTGGCTTCAACAGGAAAGGATGCAGGCTTCCACAGAAAGCGACCTTCTCTGCAGTGAGTTACTCAAGTGAGCAGGAATGTTTCTGCTCTAAACTGAGGTGGCAGGTTACACACCGATCTTTAACTGTACATTTGAGATTTATTCAAATTCTGTGACACTCTTTATTCACCCAGAAGATTTGGATTCACCCAGATTTGGTGGCGGTTTTATGGGTGGTGAAATATCAGAAATATTGTTTCCACTTTTTACTTTACAAGACTTAATTTACCTTTGAGCTCATGGGACGCCTGAAAAGTGTGACACTCTTGCATGTTGGAAAAGTCCATTTTCAGATGTTCCATCTTCCATATTTTGGAAAGAAACATTAGTGTCAGAGCGCTGTAAATCACACGGCAGACTACTGAAATCACACACTGTGAAAAACACAAAGCACTTTGTAAAATGAAGACTTCTTTTTTTTTTTTTTACATTGTTCTTTCTGTGTGTACAGATGGATGTGAGTGGCTCGCCTTTATTTTTGCAGGCTGTTACAAAAGGACTCTACGTGTCAATTTCTAAATGTTTCCCTTTTGTGAGAGTCAGGATGCATTAGGGAACATATTGAATACTTTACAGATCATCATCTTAAGATTTATTTGGGAACCCTCTTGGATTGTGTATTTTTCTGTTATTTATGTTGACTTTAGTGTGCGTACTTCAGTGAATGTTAATGATTTGATGTAGTGGATGCCGCCCGAAGCCCTGTTTGAAATGCTGTGCTGTAGATTTACTTTATTATTTACAAATTTTGGAAGCTGTTGTGCGGCACTGGATATTACATTTAGCTGAACTGCATTCAGATGTGTATATATGTTAATTTATTCATTCAAATTTCACAGCAAAACTACATTGAAAACTTTGTTTGAAGGTTAAACTGTCTGATCAACAGTCAACATCACATTAAAGCTACAAAATTTCCCTTGTCGTATTGGAACACAGTGGTAATTTATATCCCCATGCTGCCATCTGTTTCAATATGTTTGATGATTGTAGAGATTAAATGAATCATTCAGCCAACAATGAAATGAAAACACCATCATTTACTTAATCCAAACCTGAAATACTTTCTTTCTGGTCAATTCTGAATGAATTTCTCCTTTAATGTTCCACAAAAGAAAGTTTTACAGGTTTGGAATGACATGAAGGTGGATGAATAATCACAGAAATTTCATTTTTAGGTGAACGGTTGGTTTACAAAAACTTTATGTAGGTCCTTTTTTTTTTGGTCTGATTTTTCCAGTTCATATGCGCATCACTGTTCTGTATCACCTGTTGAGTTTATCTGCACTGTCAAGTGCTTGTTTCTCCTATCATCTCATGTGTCTTTGGTCAAACAGCAGTCATCCAATCAAAACATCCAGGCTTTCAGAAGCTGTCAAACTAGTGCAAAATAATCCTTCATGTGAAACAATCCATTTTCAGGGTGATTGACATTTGCATTACAATATGTCTGTTCCGTGTCACATTTCTCTTGCTGCTTCTAGTGATACGGTGTCAAAATCTGCATCCCTTGTGCCTTTCGATTTATAGAATACAGAATGATCGCATGATAATGAGCGATTTCTCCCTGATTGCTTCTCTCGTCTCTTTGCTGCAATCAGTGGTTTGTGATTACCGTTTGTGCTGGTGAGCGAGTGTTAAATGAGTGGACACAGCTCTGATGAGGGTTTGTGAAGGTCATGTTGTGTTAGATGTATAATTTAATATCCTGCACAGCTGAGCTGTTTGGTGAAGATACGAGCAGGTCTCTGAGGTTGTTGACATTTGTAAAGTATAAAAATAAATCAAAAATGAACTAAAACAAGTTAAAGCATTAGTTCACGCAAAAATAAAAATTTGCTTAAAATGTACTCCTCCTCGTGCCATCCAAGATGTAGAGTTTTTCTTCATCAGAACAGATTTGGAGAAATTTAGCATTACATCACTTGCTCACCAATAAATTAATGGGTGCCATCAGAATGAGAGTTCAAATAGCTGATAAAAGCATCAGAATAATCCACGAGTAATCCACATGACTCCAGTCCATCATAAAGACGTTTTTAACTTTTAAACCGTTCCGGTTCTCTATTAATATTGCTTTCTCCAGTGAAAATGTAATCTTGCCTGAATCAAGAGAGAAATATACACAGATCAAGCACGGTTTACAAGCAAAAACAGTTCTAAACAAATATGTCAGTGGATTTTGTTGTGATAGGACTATAGAGGATAAAGTTTTTTCACTGGAGGAAGTGTCATTATGGATTATGGGCTCGTATTTTGGCCAGAAGCAATGGTTTGAAGCGATGGTTGATTCATTCTGACGGCACCCATTCACTGCAAAAGATCCATTGGTGAGCAAGTGATGTAATGCTAAAGTTTTCCAAATCCGTTCCAATGAAGAAACAAACTACATTTTGGACGGCCTGAGGGTGAGAAATTTTTCTGCAAATTAAAATTTTTGGGTGAACTATTCCTTTAATAGCCATTGACATGAGCATTTGTTGTTATTTTGTTTGGGGTTCTTTTTGGCTTTACTTGCCTTTAATTATTCATTTTTAAAAAAATGTATTGCATTGAATTTTTATGTAGTGAAATGAAGTCACCAATTTATCACATGCAATTGCAATATGGCACTTTTGAGATTGCATATTATACAATGTATATTTCTAGTTTCCTAACAAACGGGAACTCTAGCCTATAGTGTGATTATGCATACTTTGTCATGTTATTTAAATTATGCATAATATTACATATTCATTATTTAAAATCTATGACAAAAAATGCTATCCTGTCAAATGACCCCTTTGGAAGTGGATGTTACATGAATATTGTAAACATTGTCCTTGTAAATACTGTTTGAAAAACTTGCCTTGCTACATTGCGAAAATATTTTTGTCAGTATTTTGTCTTGTGTTCCAGTAAAAACATCCTTAAAATGAGATCCATTTACTTGATAAGCAAACAATAAAGAAGACCCTTTCAAGAGAATATTTCTTGAATTAAGTTTTCTTATTAAATATAATAAAGAACAATTTGTCAAAAAAATGAAGTTAATTCAAAATATATTCTTCTAAAACAAATCAACATAATGCACAAAGCAATTTTGCTTCTCAAGTAAGTTATTGTTTTAAGGATGTTATTTATTTATTCAATATATATATATATATATAGATATATATTTATTTTTTACTGGAAAAGAAGATGGCTGTCTTGGCTATAGAAGCGCATTTGTAGTTTTGTTGTTGTATTTTGCACTACAGTTAAAGTGCAACTTTTTTGTGTATAGTCTTGTAACTATTCCTACATTGACACATAAAACCAACAAGCAGAAGTTGTCTGTGTTCTTTTTAACAAATGCAGAGGCAAGCAATACAGAGCCTGACATCTACACAGATCCCTACCTCAGCCATGCACATGTTATCTCTGATCCCACTCGGATGCCCATTGCAACCAGGGTAGAAACAGCACTGAGAATTTCCAATTTCCGCTGTAAACATTTTCTGTTGCTGACTTGTGTGTGAGGGTTTTCAGTCATGCACTTTCTTGGTTGCCGATGTGAGGAAATCAGATGACTCTGACCTGTCTGCAGAATGTCAATGTCGTGTTCGCTCATGCATTTATGATAGAGAACTGCTGTCCAGAACTACTTTACATCACAACTTCCCATCATCTGAGAGCTTCAGCATAAGGAGAATTAAAATGTTTTACTCTTCCAGACTCAGAAAGTTAATATGCCATTCTTCTACATATGTATTATTATTTAAACATTAACATATAAATCTAAATTCATTATTTATGGTTACACTTGAACACAAACTTTTGGTTTTGAGAGCCAGTGGCTTGTCTATATCCCAGAGCAGAGCCTGAGAATTACAACTCAAATGTATCCACTTGTTTGGCCATAAAGCTGGTGGTCTAGTTGAGGAATATCTGACCTGATATGGTCAAATTGTTCCCAGAGTTCACAGCTTGAGCATGGCCAATTTTCTGCATGACAGCGAAGTGTGACAGGCCTGTGGCCGCTACCTCTCCAGCACCGAGAAACTGCTGTATAATTGCTTCCCTTCTCATCAGGACTGTTCCTACCTCTTCAAACATGGCCTCTGTTGGCTCCACTGAGAAAAGGGCACCAAAATAAAGGAAGATGACATTTGTCTTATAAGTTTAGTCATAGTCATATGAATTGAATGAATGCTGGAGCATTAATTGGATGTAGTTGTTTTGTTTTTTGTTTTTTCCCTAACATGGTTGATTAATGTGTTTGCTTGCATTGTTGTTTCGAATTTATAATATGTTCTATCATATTTTTCAAAGGAATCTCCTGATT